AGAAGGAGAAGGAGAAGGAGAAGGAGAAGGAGAAGGAGAAGGAGAAGGAGAAGGAGAAGGAGAAGGAGAAGGAGAAGGAGAAGGAGAAGGAGAAGAACATTCCTCCTGCTCTGGCCCCACATCAAAGAGCTCATGGAGGGAGGAAAAAAGGAGATGGATTGAAACATCACCACCAGAGTTTTCCCCTGAAGACCAGGAGGGCTGTGGAACACAGAGAGCTGGTGGACACTCTGCAGCTCCCGGGGCTGTGGCATTGCAGGAGGTGGCAGGTGTCCTCATAAATGCTTTATAATGCACAAACCCATYGGAAACCACTGTGGTGCCTTTGTTCCCTTCGCTCCCGAGGCCATGAGATCATCTCCTCCAGTAGGAGCCGTCCTGGAGGCGGGGCAGACGGACAACCCTGCAGAGTTACTTCATGAAGAGCCCCATCCGTGGCACAAGCAGCTTGGCATCTGCCCCACTACAGCTCTGGGGGCGAGCAGGAGACACCAATGTGTGTGGAGATGCCAAAGCCTTCTCTGTGGGRAGGGCCACGGCTGATGGGGGTGCTCACCCTCAAGAATTCAGCTGCCCCGTGCCCAGAGGGAATGTCCTTCCCTTGGGAGSATGGCAGGTGGCAAGCAGGGCTGGAAGGTGCCTGGCAACTTCCCCACGTGCTCAGTGCTGGGCCCTGCCAGCTCCGGGGCCACCGCAGGAATTGTGCCACCCTTGTGCGCTGGGGGCAAGGGGACAATAGACAGYTGGTGACGAGGTTGGTGAGGACACTGTCCACCCAGGAGCAGGCTGAGCCACCAGCCATCGCTCCTTCAGCCATCAAAAGTCGTGATGGAGGTGGCCTTTGAAGGCAAAGGCTCCCTCGTCCTCCTCCTCAAAGCCCTCAGTGCATCTTCAGGCTGCTGACACCCTTGAGCCCTGCCAGACCCGCTCTGAGGGGCTGCCCTGGCACAGGAGGGCTCAGCCAGACCCTGCAGGTGTTCAAGCCACCCTCATGGTGGCCTGGGTGGCCTCCCAGAGGCTCAGAGCATTGTCCCCATGCCCCGTCCCCACGCTGGGGTCAGTGGTCCCTGTGCTGAGCGAGCTGAATTCTCCCGTGCTCTTCCCAAGGACAGAGCGGGGCTGAAAGCACCGGGTGAGGAATGGGGTGAGGAGGGTGAGGAAGACACGCTCCAGGGAGGGGACAAGGGGGTGAGGACAAGAAGGAGGCTGCCCAGTCTAGGGTGAGCTGGGAGGGATGGATTAGGGGCTGTAATCCATCGAGTGGCCTCAGGGCTCGGACGTGGCCGCCCAAGAGCCCCGCACGGAACCTGAGCTGTGGCCAGGGCTCCCCTCCGTGTGGCTGCCAGACCCTCCCCTCTCACCACTGCCAGGCTCAGAGGCACAAACAGACAGCAACAGCATGACAAAGGAGCCTCAGCCTCTCCTCTCTCCTCCAGAGGGCAAGGGGTGGGTGCCCCTTTCCTGCGAGCATCACCTGGGCACCGTGCATCCCTCCTCGTGCTCACTGCACCACCCCAGCCAGCAGTGCAGGGGACAGCAGAGCAGCAGGAAACTCATCCCTGSGTGTCCTGCCCTCCCTGGCACGGGCACCATGGATATCCTGCTACCCACCAGTGCTGCAAGCTCGGTACCAGAGCCCAATCTCAAAGCGATGCCCAGTGGGGACACTGCAGGACAAGCACACTGCCCTCTCCGTGACACTGGCACAAACCCCACGGGCCTCAACCCCCATCCTGCAGGGCTCCAGAGCAGTGTCCCMCTCAGAGCAGAGGAACAATCACCAGCCAGGGGTGCCATTTCCAGCACAAACATGTTCAGAGGGCAGCTCTGCCTGGCAGGCTGCTGCTTTTGTGCACCCCAGGATGCACAGCAGCTGTGTAACACCAGCTGTAACACCTTCAGGGCTTTTCCCCCTCTCCAACAGCCTCTTCTGCTCTGTTTGACATCCACTTTCACCACCAGCTGCTTCCTCAGCACCTCCAGCTTGCCCTGCCCTGCTCCCTGACTGCTTGCTCACCAGCTTCTGACAAACATGGAGAATTACATCTCTGGAGCAGCACACACCACTGCCAGGAGCCATCCCAGGAGCCATCCCAGAATGGTGCAGAAAAATGAAATAGGAAGCAAAACCAGAGTCCAGTCACCATAACACACTGTTACACCCTTCTCCCACCCCAGGGAGCTGACAGGGACGACGGGCACTTACGCCAAGGCAAAAGCCACCAGTGCTCCCACCACCACGATGAAATCCAGGATGTTCCAGAGGTCTCGGAAGTAGGAGCCRTCCTGCAGGATCAAGCCCTGATCAATCATCTGGAGGGGAGATACAGGGAGAAAAACAGGCAGGGAATGAGCAGCTGAGACGTCAAGTGGAAGGGACAAGCTGGGGGACAGGGACACTGCAGGCTCAGCCCAGTGTCCTGCATATGGGACATCAATTTTTTTTGGAAGTCTTGAGGCTGATGAAGGAAGTGCTGAGCAGTCTGGACCACCACTGCTGAGAACCAGACCTTAGGGTCCCCACCATCTACATTTGGGATCAGAACCGTAAAACCAAGCTATTTCCCACTGGCTGCAGGGGTGCTGCAGCCTGCCAGAGCTCTTACCTTGATCACCATCTCGAAGGTGAAGACGCCAGTGAAGACATAGTCGAAATACCTCAGGACCTGCAGAGAGAGGGCACAGTGCCCTGCAGCCACTGCCGAGCAAACCATGCCCACCCAGACACCCAGCTACTGCAGCTGGCCTGGCTCAGRGGCACACACAGGACTGGTTTGCTTGTCCCAAAGAGTTGGGACAGCCTGCTCCCTAAGAGTTCAGGACAGCCCTAAACCCAGTGCAGGAGGCAGGGAATTATTCCCCATGCAGGGAGCCAGTGGCTAGGTATTCACGCCGCCAGCCAGGATTGTGTGCCCCACACCAGTGCTGTACCAGAATCCTCCTAGTTCAAGGCCCTACTTTACAGCTGAGCAGGCACCCTGGTCTCCCCCAGGCTCCAAACCCTGTGGATGGGAAGCAGAGTGACTCCCATGGTTCATAAAGGAGGGTGACAGGGAACAAATCAGACTCCACAGCACAGTGGCTGCCCTGATCCACACCCCACCACGGGAGCTGAAATCCTACAGGACCTCACCCCACCATAGAAGCTAAAACCCTACAGGGGCTCAGGATGGGGGGAGCAGGAGGGGGGTGCAATCACTTTGTTGCGGTCGGAGTTGGTGAGGACGGGATCCTCGGCGGCGAGGGCGATGCTGCTGGCGGCGATCACCAGGAGGATGCACATCTCGAAGTAGCGCAGGTTCACGATGTAGTGACAAGCCCTCCTCACCCTGTGGGGACACAGCCCACACCCCGCCTGTGAGCCCCAGCAGGCCCCAGCCATGGCCCATGTGCAAAGCCCACCCCAAATCGCCGCCTTCCAGAGTGGGAAGATGGGCAGCAAAGTCTGAGGAGCAAAAGAAAGGAGCCAAGGGGCGTTTGGGTTTGTTAATCCCTTAGCTCAGCCAGGCAGGGAAAGACCCTGAGAAATTCTTGTGCTAACTCTTCCAGGCTGCCAGAGCTGAGGAAGAGCTATGGGTGAGCAGACAATATAAATTGCAGATAAATATAACAAACAATTAATAAAAACCCCAGTTTAGCAATCAGGAGTTGGGAGAGAGAGCCATGAGCGTGGCTGGCACAGGGAGAGCGCTGCGGGGCTTGGGGAACACCGTGGCTGATTATCGAGCCTGTTTGGGAGATGTTTAGCCCACTTCCCACAGTGATTTCCTCTGGTTTTGGGGATGTCTGGGGGCCCTCCCCAGTCCCAGTGTGAAAAATGTCTCACGGGTTGGTGGTGCTGAAGATGAACATAGAGCTGTGCGGCACCATTGCTTTGCCCGTCTCGCTCTTTTCCTTCTTCCGCTTCTTCTTCTCCATTTCCTCCTCATCCTCTTTGGTCTCAGCCTCCTTTAAGGGGCTGGCTTCGCCGTCTGTCTTGTTGCTAACTGCAGGAAAGCGAGAGCCTTTGCCCGGCCTTGCACCCAGACAACACCCTGGGGTGTCCCTGCCACCCCAGCACATAAAACCTCCCTCATTCCTGCTCCAAATCCCCATCCTGCTGTGGGGAGAGGGACTAGACAGGGAGAAAACACACGAGCTGCTGCGATGGAGCAGATGAAATGGGTTTAACAAGGCCAGTTTTCACCTTRCTGGTTAATTAATAACACTGTTTAAAGCAGCTCACCTTGACAGCGATGCTGCTAAGGGGTTTGAGTGACAGCGAGCTGCCGGAGGCTACGGATGTGCCAGGAAAAACAGGGAATGTGAGAGTTTTGCCCGGCTGGAGAGGAAGGGGGAATGAGAGACATGTGGGAAGGAGGTACAAAAGGGACCTGGTCCSCAGGGGATGGTGGCACATCAGCGTTGGGGCTCCCCTGCAAAACTGGGGTGCTGTGAGGAACAGTGAGGAAATCCCCCCCAGTGGATGGGTGTGGATAGGAAAAGCCGTGCAAGCGGCTTTCCAACCCCGCGGGGTCCCCAAGGGCTGGGAGAGGGGCTCAGGAAAGAGAGACGGGTCCTCACTCTGTACCACAGCGGAGTCGTGCACATCGATCATGATGGCCGTGCTCTCGGTGGCCTTCTCGGTGTTGGGGGTGATGGACGAGAGGTCGGGCTCGCTGCGGCTCACGGTCCGGCTGGGATCCAGCAGCGCCTGCTCGCTCGTGTCCGGGCTGCTGCAGTCCTGCTCCGTCAGGGTGCCCGGCTTCCCCTGCGAGAGCTCGGGCACGGCGTGTGGGGGGCTCCTCTTCCTGGTGCCAATCAGATCGGCATCGCCGGCGGGGACCCCGTTTGTCCTGCAGGAGGCACGGGGAGAAAAGGAGGTGTGAGAAGATGTGGGGATACGAGAGGAAGAGAGYAGGAGGAGCTGTGGGAATGGCAAAGCGCCCGGCGCAGGTACCAACCTGATGGACTCTCCGCTCGCCTCGGGCTCCCCCGGAATCAGTGCCTCTGCCGCGTCCCCACGCCGGTCCCCATCCTGTGTCCCCTCGGCGGTGCTGGCCTCCTCCAGCCCCATCTCCTGGCTGGCCGAGCGGCTCCCCAAGATGCTGGCCGTGTCCTTCCCCTCCATGCGGGCTCTGCGGTGCCGGCTGCGCCGCTGGCTCTGCCTCATCCTGGCCCTGTCCTCGATGCTGCCTCCGTCCTGTTCGCCCGCCTCACAGTTCCCRTGGCACGATTTCTGCTGCCACAAGTCCTTGTCCCGCTTGGCCCGGGGCGATGTCCTGTCCTCGCCACCGCCGGGGTTGGCTCCCGGCAGCGGCTGCTCGGGTCCCTCGGCCAGCGGCCGCTCGCTCTTTCCCTGCTCCTCGGCACATTTCTCCAGGGTGACGCCATCCCCGGGTTTCTTCCTGCGGAAGATGCTGGCGTGGGGATTGATGAGGGGCGGCTCGTCCTTGTTGATGCCCTCCTGGCTGGACATCTGCATGTGGCGGCGCAGCTGGCTGGTGCGCTGCTCCCACACCGACATGTGGTGCCGCCGGCGGCGCTCCCGCCTGCAACGGGTGACGGCGAGGGGTCACCGTCCTGGCTGACCACACCATCCCCCGGTCAAACACCCACCCTGGAGTTAATCTGGGAGTCCCAGGGAGAAGGACGCACCAGTGCCAGAGTTACAGGCTGTGCTAAGACTTTGCCAGTGTCCCTTTGGTGCTGGCAGGGGCTGGAAATGGGGCTGATCATTGAGCTTCTGCCCCTTCAGAAGGCATCAGGCTGGTGGATGACCAGCCCTAGCAGCCTTGAAGCTTTCAGGCAGCATGTCCARCTTCTGGGAGCAGCCAGCATCCTTGGCTTGCCCTGTCCCAGACAGGCAGGGACCACCTTCCTCCTATGTGATTCCCTGGGGGCGCCTTAAATACGGGCCAAGCCCTCTCCCTGCATCCAGGGACCCCTCCCTGCCTCTCTCCCAGCACATCCCGGGTAGGAAGTGTGCCCTGAGGCTTGGAGAGCAGCGATTTTGACTGCCTGAGGGGGAAGGAGCTGCACTGGGCTTCTCTGTGTGGAGAACTGGGCTATGCCGCGAAACCTTTGCAGCGCGGTARAACAACACCCTGGAGCAGACAGACGTGCCCTTCCCGACACTCCCGCGGCACAGGGAAACACCCAGGAGCACACACGGGCACGGGCAGCGCTCACAGCGCAGCGCACACCCACGGGGGGCGACAGGCGCCTTGTGCCGCACACGGGGGGGACCGGCACACACCGAGCCACGCACACACGGGACGGGGAGCACGGGGCACACGGATACAGCACACACACACACGCACAGTGCCCGCTCCCATCCCCGCCGGGCAGGCCGGAGGGGAGCGGGGTGTGCCCCGGCCCGGCGGACGCACAGACAGCACAGGAGCCACAGACGGACACGCGCCCCCGCCGCCCACATACAGGTGGCTGCTGCGTGGCTCCCACATCGACATGTGGTGTCTCCTCCGCCTGTCTCTTCTGGGGAGGAAAAACAAACGGGTTCAATCCCCTCCTGGCGCTCCTGTGGGCAGCGCAGAGAGCTGTCCCCCCTCCCTGCRCAGCCGGACACGGCGAGCCCCAGCCGGCACGCTGGGCACGGGCTGCMGACACTCGCACTGACACTCGGTCCCTCGGGAGCCTTCCCCGCACCAGGGACAGCAGGGCAGGCTCAAGGCTTTCAGAACCTCTGACACATCCTCGGATCTTGAACAGCTGTCTCAAACTGAATTAACCTCTCCCAAGGAACATTCCRTGGCAAATGGAAAGAGGAAGCCATGCTCAGAGCCATCACCGCGGGCTGTGCAGCCCGGGGAGCACAGAGGGGCACGGGGAGCTCCCCAGCAAACGCAGGGCACAAGGCCAGGCTGAGACACCACGGGGCTCCTGTCACCTGAGCAGCCCCCACGCAGAGCGAGTTACCAGGGCTGGCAGAGACCTTCACAGGCGTTAGGAGCTGGGGAGATACCAGGATTTATCCTTTGTATCAGCACAGAAAAGATTCGGATACACACAGCTCCAAGCAAACCACCCCGAGAATACGCAATCATAGAAACAGAGAATACCTCGAGTTTGAGGCATCATCGAGTCCAGCTCCTGACCCTGCACAGAACAACCACGGCCACCCACGCCAGCCCTGGCCACTGGGGCACACACAGCCCTGGCCACATGGGCACACACAGCCCTGGCCATGGGGGCACACACAGCCCTGGCCTCATGGGAGCACCCAGCCCTGGCCACCTGGGAGCACACACAGCCCTGGCCACTGGGGCACACCCAGCCCTGGCCACTGGGGCACACCCAGCCCTGGCCTCATGGGAGCACCCAGCCCTGGCCTCATGGGAGCACCCAGCCCTGGCCATGGGGGCACACACAGCCCTGGCCACTGGGGCACACACAGCCCTGGCC